AAGCGTACGTCATTTCAAAAAAAATATATCATTTAGATATTTACGCATATCAGAACATGGTCACAATATTTTGAGATCACCACCTCACCATTGCCAATATAATGCCATAGAAATGGTGTGGTCCGAGGCTAAAAGGATTTATGACGCCGAAATCTTCAAAACTAAATCATCCCAGGTAGATGTGATAATGGTCTGGTCAAAGGCGTTAGAAGCTGTGGGTGTGGAGCATTGGAGAAATTATGTACGACATACAGAAAAAGTGATATTTTCGGCATGGGAGACGAAGAAATACATATGTGCTTCCAATATTGAACCTGTCTTGATAACTTTCAATTCAGATGAGAGCGATACGTCATCGGAGGAAGGGTCAATGAGTTCAAATGAAAATATTTGTTTTTGAAAAATGTTACTTCCTGAATAATTCATATTAAATTAAGTTGATGTTGACAAGGAATTATTATTCGAAATATAATTCATGTGAGTTATACTACTTACTTACTTTCTTGCAGAAAGCCAAAGACAAAACATTTGTATGAAAGAATTTCATGTTGATAATGGATACAGTGTTTTCCGAAACCTCTAGTTGATATGGAGATTAATACATCTTCACATATTTTTTTCAACATCTTATTTCACGAAGTGTCACTGACTATCAGCTGAAAAAATTCTTTCAGGTCTGAAAATAAATTTCTTCGGGGCAAAGAAAAATATCCACGCCCAGTCATCCACAGATACTTTTATATCTCTATATTTTTTTTAGAAATGAGGGGAGAAAACTAATGAATTTTTTCGATATTTTTTTTGCCAAAGCATCAATCGCTTGTAAATATATTTGCGAAAAACAGATGATGTTGAACAGCTTGAGAAATCTTATAGTTCATTTATTCCAAAATCCGATAAGGTTGAAGTCATATTTTGGATTGCAGCTAATATTTTTAATTTTTATTATCGCTCAAGACAAACGAGAGAGAATTACTATTTTATGTTCGTAGAACATCGTCCATCCCTGGGGTGGAAAGGGAGAGAAGGAAGGTATTGAAATATCAAGAGTTATCCTTATTTGTTCATGGTGCAAGAGATCTTATATTCGAATTTCGTATTTTCAACATTTATTTCGGGTAGGTATTGAAAACATCTCCTCAGGTTTCCCGAACTGATTTTCCGCGACAATACTGTTCAGTGTTCAACTATAGTTATTCGTTTTTTTAGGTGAATATATATTACGAATCTTTGAGAAAAAAAACATGGGAACTTGTAATGGTACGCACATACACTCCTATATCCGTTCTCATGGACTTCGATGAACTGCCATATTCGTTACCATTTTTTTTTTTTTTTTTTTTTTTTTATCGCTTGGAGCGCACGAGAGGGAATCCCTATAATGTTCAAAGAACATCGTGCGTTCCTAGGGAGGATAGGGACTGGAGGTAGGTATTGGAATTTTCTTTGAACTTTTGGAGATTATATGTTGTTGGGAACACTTCCACAGGCAATGAATTCCAGAGCCTAGCCGTTCTATGGATGAAGGAGTCTTGATAAAGTGCTGTTCGACATCTTTCGAGGTTGACAACGAAAGGATGTGCTGACTGGGCTTGTCTAGTTCGTCTGATTGGTATTGCTAGTGAAGGGATGATAGCAGAGATTTCCGAAGAACATTTCCCGTGGAAGTATCGATAGAAAAGTGAAAGGTCGCCGACCTTTCTACGGTGTTCTAATGATGCCAAAGAGTGAGTGAGTGTGGCGTCACCCACCAGGCGAATGGCTCTTCTCTGGATGAAATCTAAGAGCATCAGCGTATGTTTTGGTGCTGAACCCCATATGTGGGAACAGTATTCTAGAACAGGCCGTATCTGCGCTTTGTAGATCATGAGAAGCTGTTGAGGTGTAAAGTAGTTTTTCGCACGGAACAAGAATCCGAGTTTTTGGGAAGCAGCTTTTGCGATGGATCTGACATGATTATCCCATGAAAGAGTGTTGCTGATGGAAATACCGAGCATAGATATGGTGGGCTTGGTGGGGATGGTGGAGCCAGACATTACAATATCGGGCATACTGAGTTCCGCCTTTCTAGAGAAAATGCAGGCTTGAGTTTTGGTGGCGTTGAATTCAACTAGGTTGTTTGTTCCCCAGGCTGTGATTTCAGCAAGATCTTCATTGACAGCATTGACCTGCCTGCGCCGTGAGGTCTTAGTTTCCTGGGAAGAAATGGGAATTCTGGAAGAGAAAGCAGTATGGAGGGTACTATCATCTGCAAAGCTGTGGATGGGGCAAGTTGTTACTCCCAACAGATCATTGATATGAAGCAGGAATAATGTTGGTGCCAAAATTGATCCTTGTGGAACGCCGGAATTGATGCCAATGGTATCAGACGATACACCGTCCACTACCACGTGAAGCGATCTGCCTGAAAGAAAACTCGATAAGAGATGGCATAGCTGAGGTGGTAAGCCGTATGATGGTAGTTTGTGGAGGAGTCCTTCGTGCCAAACACGGTCGAATGCTTTCGATATGTCCAACGCGACAGCTAGAGATTCCCCGTGTTTTTCTATTGAAGATTGCCATAGATGGGTGACGTAGGCAAGTAGATCTCCAGTAGATCTTCGGTGGCGAAAGCCGTATTGTCTATCATTGATGATTCCTGAGCTCTCCAGATATTTGATAAGCTCAATATTGATGGCTTTCTCCATCACTTTGGAGATTACTGATAACAGGGCAATGGGCCTGTAGTTGTTGGGCAGGTTCTTGTTCCCTTTTTTGGGGATTGGTTGGACTCTAGCTGTCTTCCAGCATGATGGAAAAATACCCGACCTGTACGAGATGGTAAACAACTTGCAGAGAATCGGTGTTAATTCTGGTGCACATTTCTTGAGGATAATGGGTGGAATTCCATCAGGACCGTTAGCTTTATTCGTTTTGAGACCAAGCAAAATTCGTCTGATAGTGCGTTGACGGAAGACGATTTCGGGCATTCGACTCTCAACGGGTGGAATGTCTGGCGGCACTTTTCCTTGGGAATCTAAAGTAGAGTTTGCTGCGAAAATTTCTGCAAAAATATTCGCTTTCTCCTGCGATGTTGTTGCTAATGTGCCGTCGGATTTGGACAGTGGTGGAAATGAACTGTTAGTGAAATTTCTTCCGACCGCTTCAGCAAGGGACCAAAACGAACGGGAGCCATTGGGACAATCTATGAGTTTCGATCTGATCTTGGCATTGTATGTTTCTTTCGAAGCATCTATTGTTTGGCTGCAGTTATTCCTGGCATCAACGTATTCTGCTCTAGTCGCGAGGTTAGGGTTTTTGCGTCAGCGATGGTAGGCTGTTTGTTTCAAGGCAACAGTTCTAGAACAGCTTTTGTTGAACCAGGGTTTCGAAGGTGATGATCTTTTCGAAAAATGAGGTATGTATGTTTCCATTCCGAGCATGATGATCTCGGATATTTCCGCAGCACACTGTGAAGGGTCCTCAGAGTCAAAGCATACTCTATGCCAAGGAAACTCGGAGAAAAACATGCGGAGACCGTCCCAATCTCCAGAATTGTAATACCATATAAGACGTGGGGGTGCTGGAGCAGTTGATGGAATGAAAAATGGGCAGGTTGTGGAGATGAGTGTGTGGTCAGAATTGCCAAGTGGAGCTCGTACATCTATGGTGTAGGGTGCTGAATTATTCGTGAGGAATAAGTCAAGTATGTTAGCTGAATGGTTATTGGCATCGGGAATTCGTGTGGGTTCTTTGATAAGCTGCTCTAAGCCGTGAGTGATGGCGAAAGCTTCGGCTTGTCGCCCAGCTTCATCCGTTCTGTTAGAGTGTACGAGCCAAGCAGTGTTGTGTACATTGAAATCGCCCATGATGATGATTTCTGCTGCTGGATGGTTCTGTTGAATTTGGTCAAGCTTCATGATTATCATGATTGTCAAAATCTGGAATACTTAAGAATACACATACGAATGGTAACCAGAAATTCTATAGGCTTTTGTTTTGTGACTTGGTGTATTTCCACGACTTTAGTCATGAGTTATCTGGAAGCCCAAGGCTGTCAAATGGAAAAGGCATAATGGACAGTACTCTGGTGAGTATCTGGTATGTGGTGGCTGGTGGTCCAGGAAAGTAGCAAAATGTAAGTTTGCACTAAAATGAGAAAAGTTTCCAGTTTTTCACTCTTGATTTCAGCTATACTACTGAACCAAATTTTGAGTTTTATATACTCATTTGATGAAGAATTTAACCCTCTTTATTATTGAATTGCATGTTGTTTTCCTTCTGTGATGTTTTCAAGCTATAAGCAAAATACTGAAAAAAGTGCATAAATTTACCTCTTTTGGACTCCCAAAAGTTAAGTTAACCTCCTGAAATGATGCAAACTCACATTTCACTTATTTAGGAACAAGTGAAGGGATTGAAAAGATTTTCAGCTTGGTGGCAATTGATTCCTGGAAAAATCCTTATTTGATTGGCCTATTAACTTTGTCTGGTGGTATATGATTGTTACACTCAATTTTTATTGAAAAGCAACCATAATTGGCTACCAACCCACAAAAATTCAGTGCTCTATTAATTGTATGTTGCATTGATTTTTTGTACCCTTTATGGCCATACCAGGGCCGCCTCCACCACTGAATACCTGCCAGACATCCTGTTCAGTTTTTAATGATATAATGGCAGTGCAATAAGGTAGGACTGGTAGGAGATATACATCTATTAATCAGACCAGAGCTGATACGCTCCACTACATTTTTTCTCCATATTTAGCAGACAATGAATTCTTAGACTATCAATACTTTATAACCGGGCACAGTAATTAAACATTATTGTATAACTCATTGTATAATGAAAACTCCAATGAAAACAAGGGTAGGAAGGTAGAGATCATCCATACCTGCAATGAGTGTCCTTTTTCCAGGAAAATCCTTCAATATGTGTTGTGACAGCGATAATTGAATATATAGAGAAGATGAATAAGGAAGTGAGGCAACCATAAGTTTTGTTTCTCACAAGACCACCTTATTGAAGATGAAGAGCAACAGAGGGCAGACCCACCATGGTTCCAACTCTGCTGTGTTCTGTGTTTAGGTTTAGGGCAGGATTCGCTGGACAGAAAAATCACTAAAATCAGAAGTGTTTTGCCAATATACCAGGGAAATCAAAGTTTTCCACAATAAGGAAATTTGTTCTTTAGATATGTTTTATATGAATGTCTTTATTTAGTAGTTTTGAATTTAAGTACTCATTTTCAGATGAGATACAATAGACTGACAAGAGTTTTTAACAGTGTTTTTTTGAACGAAGCGCCGAATTACAAATATTTGAATATTTACAATTTACAATATTACAAAAATACAACACACTACAACTACTACCAGAAACCACAAAACCAAAACTGACAACTGAACTGACGAGTGACATGTGACAAGTGACAACAGAAGCGAGTAGACCGTAGAGACTACGGTTTGTTAATCTGTTCCGATATTCCCGAACAGTACTGCCCAGTATAATTTATCGTTCCGATTTTACTGAAATTTACTGGCAACGTTTTTGGGGGTCATTGCAAGGAACCCTTAAGGCCGTGTCTCACGGTCCAACAATTTGATCAAATTTTTTGAGGTGACGATTGGAAAAATATCGGTAGAGGAGTCCTACCTATGACTTTTGATGGAGTCAGACTGAAAGATATCCCATAGTAAATTTCAAAACTACATAAGAATGGATGGGAGATGTTTCAGATTTTTATCAATCCATATATGCGCATGAACGAATGAGTGAACGTATAGTTTATTGTCGTCAAGTTGAAGAAAAACAAAAGAGCATCAGTGCAAACACCATAATAATAATTCTCCAACATGCTCCAACTCTTCACTATCTTAGGAAGAAGCCACGTCGAATTGCTTAGAAAGAGTTGTCCTCTTCCGCCGAAAGGATGTTTTCCATGATACTTGGTTTTATTCTTTCACGAGGAAGGATAATATACTGTGGTTTTCTGGTTTTAGTATCATGGATGTTTATATTCCTTAATATATTACATCACCCAAGGGAAGCCAAATATTGGATGACGGTACTAGAACTGTCTGCAGGCACTCGTAAAACGCTGAACGCAGAACCAATGAACAGATTCTGTGTGTCTAAAGGTTAGTTTGTGGATGGGCGATTTTACCTTCGGCGATGCTAGCGATGAAATCTGCTGACATTATCATTGGCCAATTTGAACTGGTGAGCTGCTGATAACCAATAATATCGTTAAACGTTTCATCGCAAATCGCAAGCATCGCTAAAGCCGAAATCGCCCAGCAACAAACCGAGCTTAAAAAGCTTTTTGACTTATGACTTTGATATGACAATCATGACAACATGACATGGATGGTTTGTTTTGTTATAAACTGGGAATTTTCTGGAAAATTTGAAAAAAGTTGAATTCGAAATTTGAACATTCAGTACAGAAGGTGAGATTGGTGAAAACAGTCAAAATCTGAAGTGTGAGAACATTGTCATAACACAATTTGATTTATTCAATAAATTGGTAGATATTGATATAATTTCTACACATTGTGTAATCCAGTGTAATATATCTGTATTTCTTGAATACACTACTTAGATCATTCTTTCTGTCTTTAGGTCCGATGAAAAATGGCTGTGATGATAGCCACCAAATTGTGTAGAGCGCCTGTTTTCCAAAAGGCTGCTCTGTTACGTCAGCCACAGGTACAAAATGTATACAGAACATTTGCTGATGAAGGCAGAGATGCCTTGGCTAGAGCTGCTCGCAGGAGGCAAGCAACGTTGAAAGAGAAACTTATGGCTCCAGCTGGTGATACAGGTAAGTCCATGAAATATCATTTTATCAATTTGTAGGCCCTAATGGTCTGTTTTGAGATACTAAGGAAGGCCCTGCATTTTGTTCAAAAGCTTTTTATTCAGCATCAAATGGTAAAATGAAGGGCAAATTCTCATGCAAATACCTATTTCCACAGATTCCTATTTTAAACATGTATACAACATCTTCTGTCTGCCTATAGGCTATAAAAGCAATATTTTTACTTTGATTGATAACTGTTTGAGCTGTCTAGTGACTGTGACTAGAAACAAAAAAAAAACAATCGTTTTTTGACAGAGCTGAAAATGGTTATTTTTCTCCAAACAGCATAGAAAGTGGGTTTTCTATTACACTTGATAGGCAGTAAAGGTGTACTTTCTTTGCCTAGGCAGAAAAAGTATTTTGTTATGCAGAGTTCCATGCAATTCAAATAAAATTGGTCAAGCCCTACCCCCGGACACCCCCCCCTCCCTCCAAAATGATGGTCTTAATCCAACTTTTTCTTCAACTACCACCCCCCCCCCCCCCGCCGAAAAATAATCCTTGGCAGGGACTTGAAATTGGTAATCAAAATTCACACTGATATTGAGTGAACACATAATATATGATGGAGTTTCTGATGAAAATAGTTATTTATGTCCCAAGGATGAAACACTGTCTATTATAATTGAGTCTGCAAATTGATAGCCCAGACCTTACCCCAGACTAGCAGTTTCATGGACCTCAAACACTTATATCATCATGTTCCTATTCACACTTGAAATCTATCATATTTCATAAGTGATTAATTTGACAGCAGCAAATGATAGTAAGTTGTTGTGGACTCACTCTCTGCTAGGACCAGGGTTGCCAGTGTGATTTTAGTGAATACTTTGTCAAAAATTCAGTAGATTTCATTAGATCTCTTCAAGATCTATTTTTTGCTATATGAGTTCCAAGCAAAAAGCAAGGATAATAAAATAAATCTATAACAACAAAACATAATCTACTTTTAGTAATCAGAAAAGTAAACTATTTCCAACAAAATAGAAACAAAAAAAAACAAACATTCTCATACAAAATCAAACATATAGTCAAATAGGTACTCTTACGATTTGAGTATATAAAAAACCAGAATGAATAGTAAAAATGAACAACAAAAATACAAAAAGAATTAAGCATAAGAAACAAAATGTTGAAACATAGATATTTGAAAAATTGAATTCCATCTGAATCAGATAAAGTGTTGTCCTACTTTGGTTTATACATATAATTAGTACCTATATGTACATTTATTACTTATTTTGTAAAATTAATTTAAACAGAGCATGCCAAAATATGCAATTTATAAGTATATGTGATGACTAAAAATTAATAATAATATAGGTAATTATAATAATAAATAAGTGTCAAAATATTCATCAGTAGGTTATAAAATAATCAATTCCTTCCGTGTATTTTTCAACAAAATTCGACCGTACGTGATGACATCTAATATGGGACTGTCTTGATTCACCACTGGTCCCGAATGAATGACTTATAGGTTGAATCATGCTGCTAACCGATTAATTTCCGAACAAACGATTCATCTATGACTAATGATCATGATGAAATTATAGGGGGGAGGAATATATGAGTGTATGTGATTAATTAATGATTAATAATAATATAGGTAATTGAAATAATACGAATACTTTTATTTTATAGAAACGAGGAGAGAAAATCCCAAAGAACCAAGTAAAATAAATATAGGTAATTATAATAATAAATAAGTGTCACAATATTTTGCAGTAGATTATGAAATGATTCAGTAGATCAGTAGATCAATATGCAAATCAGGAGATCTACTGAAAATTCAGTAGAACTGGCAACCCTGCAGCAGACGAAAAGTTAGTGTGTGCAGATGAAAAGTCAGTAAAAGTACTTGCCTTCGGAAATAGTCGGTTTTTCGTTCAGGAAGTTGAACGTGAAATTTGATTTTTTATAGAAGTCGACGAACCAACTGGTTTAATAACATTTGGAGAAACAATTATATGTTTCACTAGGCAGCAAAGTAGTAGATTGACTGCCGGGGCTGATAGTTCGTAGTCGAACGTAGCTGGACAAATTTGAGCAGTGTGAAATGCAGAGAAATAGTACATGGTACAAACACCAAGGGGGCTAACCCGAAAGTAACAATCCTGGCGCTCAGAATGCTTAACTCTAACAATAATGACGATAGGTTAGGTGCTTCAAGGTCGTTTAGTTTGAGTGACGCGGCCTTTTATGGCATAGGTCTGTAAGTCATAGGCGTCGGTAGTTTTTTTCTTGGGGGAGGGGGGTAATGATTGGTTTAGATAATGAAAAAAAATCATGTTATATTAAGAGAGCCATAAATAATAAACAGGATTGGGTATATGTGTGGTATCGCCTTATTTCTGACTAAACCAGAAGTATTTTATTATCAAGACTTAAATTTTTTTCTGCTCTATTCAGTGGCCAATGTTGATTTTTGTTACCTATCATATTGTTATAATTATGGTATAGTCAGCATTCATTCAAATGGAGCCCCCCCAAAACTTATTGCAATTCCATATTCTTCCTGAGGAACTGATTTCATCAATGCATCACCCTTGGGGTCTAGTGGAAATGATTACAGGGTGTTCAAAATCGAGATATTCAACTTAAGTTTTTTTTTTGTGTCAAAACTATTCATTATTGGTCTAAACGACTCACATGTCCCGATCTTGACTTTTGATTTACTACCTATTGACTTTTAAAAATTGGTACAGAGTGCAGTTACATGGTGATATTGGTGATCAGAAATCTGAATTTTGAACCACCCAGTATTTGTTCCAATCAACTGTCAAGTAGATAGTACAAGTAAATTGTAGGGGATTTGACCAATAATGAATAGTTAAGACACAAGAAAATCCTGAAGTTGAGAAATTTCGATTTTGAACACCCATATCTCTGTAATCATTCCTGCTAGACCCCAAGTGAGGTGTATTGATGAAATCAGCTCTTCAGGGAGAATCTAAAATTCGAATAATATTCAGGATGATCCATTCAAAAAAACTGCTGACTGCGCTATACAGGGTAACTCACGGTCGATGGTACGTTAGACGTTTATGGAGAACGGGACATAGGATCATTCTGAAATTTTGGTTACTAACGTAGTTGCTCTTGGTCTATCGATCTAAAATATTTTCAGCTCTGCAGCGTTGCCGCTTCTATCGAAAAGTAGCAACAACTTTGTTATTTTAAATGGAACACCCTGTATTTTATTGCATTTTCAGATTCTATCTTAAGAGCTGATTTCATCGATGCAACACACTTGGGGTCTAACGGAAATGATTACAGAGATATAGGGTGTGAAAAATCGACATTTTTCAACTTTAGGAATTTTTTTTGTCAAAACTATTCATTATTGGTCAAAACGGCTCACATGTCCCTATCTCAACTTTTGATCAACTATCTACTGACATTTAATTGAAACAAATACAGAGTCGTGCAGAATTCAGAATCTTGATCACCCGGTATATGTCCCAATTAAGTATCAGTAGATAGTTAATCAAAAGTTGAGATAGGGACATGTAAGCCGTTTTGTTCATTATTGGTCAAAGTTTCGACAAAAAAATTCCTAAAGTTGAAAAATGACGAATTTTCACACCCTATATCTCTGTAATCATTTCTGCTAGACCCCAAGTATGATACATCGATAAAATCAGCTCCTTAGGAAGAATCTGATGATGCAATAAAATACATTTAAAATCCATTCCATTTAAAATAACAAAGTTGTTGCTACTTTTTGATAGAAGCGGCAACGATGCAGAGCTGAAAATATTTTAGATCGATAGACCAAGAGCAACTACGTGAGTAACCAAAATTTCAGAATGATCCTATGTCCCGTTCTCCATAAACGTCTAACGTACCATCGACCGTGAGTTACCCTGTATATAAACAAAAAAATGCGTAACAATAAGTTTTTCGCATAGAATTAAGTATCCTGGGGTTTTTTGAGGTGAGAAATCATAATTTTTTACTAATTTTCATCTAGCGCCTGGATGGCATCGAGAATGGCACTGCATATACAGGGTAACTCACGGTCGATGGTACGTTAGACGTTTATGGAGAACGCAACGCAGGATTTTTCTGAAAATTTCGCATCTCACATTTTGTCACCTGTTCTATCGATCTAAAATATTTTCGAAATTACGAAGTTGCTTTTTCTATCAAAAAATCCTAGCAACTTCATTTTTTTCAAATGGAACACCTCGAATATTAACAAATTTTTAGAAATGCCTTTTTATTACAATACTCTTTTGTTCATAAATCCCTATACCTATCTCTATCGGTTTTTACAATAAAAAATAATTTGTGTTAAATATGATCCAAAACATTTCTCTAATTGAACTTATGTAAATCAGGGCTCTCCAATCATAAAGAGTTGATATTTCAGTGGTGGTTTGGACAGGCTTGATGTATTCAATTTACACCGAGAAGTCGCCTCCATATCATACAGGGCGTGCTGGAATTATTATTTTATCTGTTGTTCATACAAGTGGTCAAAAGTTCATTTTTTCAAATAGATTCCACTGTTTTTCACTCAATAAATCGAAAGACGAATAAAAATGCTACAAGATGATGACATAGCATGTCTCTATTCCTAAATCATCAAGTTTTCTTAATAAAGCCGCTTTTTGTGAAACATATAATTTTATGAAAAAGTTAATTTTAGATAGCCATGGAAATATCAAACTCATGACAGTTCGGTGACATTAATGAGTAATTCAGTATTATTCAAACGAAGTTCTTATGAAGTTATTTATTATCTAATTTTTGTTTTTTTTTTAGTTGCTCTTTCATAATTTTCCCTGCTATAAACAGGTATGTTTCTTGGGAATAATAAAGATAATTATACACGGACAATGTGATCAAATCATTGACAGAACTTGCAAAAAATCCAACCAAATGTATCCTGAATTGACACCAATGAACGAGAGGAAGTTTGTAAGATTATAAAATGATTTTATCAACTATGGCTCAAGGTTAAAAGCGCCTCCAACATTACCAAAACCTGTTACTTCGAATGAAGACAATATTGTTGACGTTTTGGCATATTTTCATGCATATCCAGGAGCATCCATTCTTAGTGCAGAATAAGATTTGGGTGTATAACATGCTTCAGTACAAAGAATTTTCGGAAATCACAAAATGCATCCGTAGAAATTCAGTAAAGTTCAAGCTCTCAATGCAGAAGACTTCGAGCGGAGAGTGCATTTTTGCGAAGCCCTTTCAATGCATACCCAGGAGGATCCGGAATTTTTGTCGAAAATAATTTGGAGCGACGAATCAAAATTCACGAGGGATGGGATTTTCAATAGAAGAAATAAGCATTTTTGGAATGATCATAATCCTCATATAACAAAAGAAATGGGTTTTCAAGTAAAATTTGACCTAAATGTTTTCTGTATTTTGAAAAATAATAAAATCAGCTTTTTCATTTACGATGGCACACTGAATGCTGAGAGATATATTCAAATATTGAGGACGACTGTGACAGATTTCCTCGAAAATTTGCCTTTAGAGGAATATAGGAATTCATGGTTCCAACTGGACGGGGCATAGCTCATTCAACTCAGGAAGTTTCCAGGAAACTTTACGAAATGTTTGAGGATCGTTGGTTTGGCCGTTTAGGTCCGTGGGACTGGCCACCGAGATCACCTGATCTCACGCCGCTTGACTTTTTTTATGGGGTGTTTTAAAAGAAAGGGTGTACAGTACTCCAGTGCCTACCAAAGAAGAACTGCGACGGCGAATAGTGCGGTGTATTGAAGATTTGGATCCTCATGAAATTCAAAAGGCAACCACGAGTCGCGTACAAAAGCATATTTTAAAATGTTTAGTTGTTGGAAACTTTGAGCCATAGTTGATGAAATTATTTTGTAATCTTTACAAACTTCCGCTTGTTCATTGGTGTCAATTCAGGATACATTTGGTTGAATTTTCTGCAAGTTCTGGCAATGATTTGATCACATTGTCCGTGTATAATAAATAACTTCATAAGAACTTCGTTTGAATAATCGATATTCGCGTTCATTCTGGGAGATTTTTTGAAACACTGTCAATAACAATTACTGAATTACTCATTAATGTCACCGAACTGTCATGAGTTTGATATTTCCATGGCTATCTAAAATTAACTTTTTCATAAAATTTTATATAATATTTTTCACAAAAAGCGGCTTTATTAAGAAAACTTGATGATTTAGGTATAGGGACATGCTATGTCATCTTGTAGCATTTTTATTCGTCTTTCAATTTATTGAGTAAAAAACAGTGGGTTCCATTTGAAAAAAAAAGAACTTTTGACCACTTGTATGAACAACGGATATAATAATAATTTCAGCACGCCGATATGGAGGCGACTTCTCGATGTAAATTGAATACATCAAGCCTGTCCAAACCATCACTAAAATGTCAACTCTATGATTCGAGAGCCCTGATTCACATAAGTTCAATTAGGGATATGTTTTCAATCATATTTAACACAAATAATTTTTTATCTCGAAAACCGATAGAGATAGGTATAGGGATTTATCAGTATTGTATTGAAAAGGCAATTCTAAAAATTTGATAATATACGGGGTGTTCCATTTAAAAAAATGAAGTTGCTAGAACTTTTTGATAGAAACGGCAACGTCGCAATTTCGAAAATATTTTAGATCGATAAAACAGGTGATAAAATGTAAGATGCGAAATTTTCAGAAGAATCCTGCGTTGCGTTCTCCATAAACGTCTATCGTACCATCGACCGTGAGTTACCCTGTATATGCTTTCGATACTTATTCAAAATAACTTTTTAAAAGTACATTTTTGGCACTTTTTATGGCAAAACTTATTCCCATCCCTTATTCGAGTTAAAAAGGTAGATTTCCTCAACAAAATAGAACTTTTCTCTAAAGAACAAGTTATATTTTTGAACCAGATATAGGAAGACTGATTTCAGTGCCTGTGGATAAATTTAAAACATAGAACATAATATTTCTGCCAAAAAAATTATTTGTAGCTACTTTTCACCTTGTAACTCTGAAATGAAGATAGATATCAATATATGGTATTCACCATTGCGTTTGTCGTGAAAATTGACCTTCAGGCTCTGACATCAGTTTTCTTCTATCTAGTTCAAGAATAGGACTTTCTCTATGAAAATTCTGCTAGTAAGAGTTATAAAAATAACCAAATTAACTGAAACAATTCAACTATAAGTCTTCACCATCACCTTGTTTGTGCTCCATTCATATCATAAATAATAAATGATAAATAATTTCTCATCTTTTCAAATGAGACAACTCCATATTATATAGTGATGAAGTCATAGATGTGCCTTAAAGTTTCAAGAGACATATTTTCTTCATTTGTTGCTTTAAATGGCTCAAGTAGATTTAAGTAATCTGATATTTCAATTCAATACTCCATTTGCAGCTTTCAATCTTGGAAAAGGTGCTTTAGCTGGAGGATCAGTTCTGGGACTTGGGGCCCTTTGCTACTATGGTCTTGGATTAGGAAGTGATGTTGGGGCTATTGAAAAACATCAGTAAGTTAATGGACTGAGGGCTAGCATGTTCAGTCTAACACGTTGGTACTACTGGTGCTTGAGGTCTATGTCAATGCCAAAAATCCTCAAATTTTGCTGGATAGGCCTGAAGGCTGAAGCCTGTTCTCCAAAACATTTGCAGAAATAGTGGTGGTGTCAATTGTTAACAAAAATACTCTAATTATGTACTGTCTGTAGGCTGGGGCAATTTTGAGTTTTCAACTTCCAGTGTGAAACTTTACCCGCTATTTTTACATCAGCAGCAAAGAAGATATTCAAATGTAGAGGCCAAATGAAATTAAAGGAAAAGTATGTGTCATGAGAAACCCCACTATTCAGTAGCGCAATTTGTTTTATAATCAAAATGTGCTAGCCCTCATTTATTTTATAAAGACAAAGAACTTTTAAATATACAATATTTCATAAAATATATATTACACATCAAATTGATAAATGAACTATCATACAACATATTCCTTATATTATACAATAAAACATTTCGAACATTTTTTTAATATTAGTAATTTCTCTAATCAGTTCCAAATCGGATAGGTTGCCGTTAACGGAACAAGGGTTCATAATGGGCGGATTTGCGAATTGAAGTATTCATTTATAGACCAGGAGATGATGACAGGTGACTTTCTCCCATTTCACACTGCATGCCTTTATAAGGCTTTATATTTAACCCCAAAATATAAACAATAGACGGGTTCCTTATACTGCCTGCCGTTGTAATATACGGAAGTTCAAACAAACTGAAGCGCTAATAAATTGATGGCATGCAATCCGCTGCAGCCGAAAGGGCTCAAAAGGGTTACGAAAAACTGAAGAAAATGGCAAGCCGATGTGGAGAATTGAAGTGCTAGTAACAAGAACACTCTGGAAAAATTGGCATGCGCCCCTTGTCTGACTAACATTGGAAAATTTCGGGAATACTCTGTAAAAATGTAATATTAATACAGGTTTTCTGTGATTCCAAACTGCATGCCATTAGAAAGAAACTTCATTTGTATAATTAATTAATAGTAGGTAATTTGGCATGCACATCATTTTGCAAAATAGAGGCGTGCATGACGAAAGTTGCCAAAATATCAAAACTTCTCTCTCTGTCTTTGTAATCGTTCGACATAACCCTATCAAACCCAGTATCATCGAATTCGTTATGATAATCCCTAACTACTTATGGATTGAAATACAGAGAATTAAAAGTTGGGGTCGTTTCCGGTCAAACCGGTAGTGATGATGAAAGTATGGAATATTTCAAAATTGACCAATTCTCGAATCCTACACCCGGAACTCTGGAAACCATGGCTTGGCTAAAAAATTGGATAATAATGTTTGAAAATGTACTGTAAGCTAACCTAAAATATAAAATACCATATATCGAAACATCCTGTATGAATCCTCCTGAATCAAAAACCATTTCGAGAAAACTGATTATGCTTCATCGTATCGCCCTCACTCAAACATGAAACAATCCCTGCCAAACGGGGCGATCTCAAACTTTTCGAGAATTATCACATTTTCAGATATCACCCCCTGTAGGTCTTCATGTCGAAATGGTGGAGTTACAAGAAAGTAATGACGTAAAACTCAATGAAACGAGCTATTAGCATCTTGAAAGAAATTGAAAATTGGTTGATCCAATCCAAAGTTATGGCGGTTCGAAAATGATATAAATTTTTGCTTGTCTCACTTTAAATGTGGGGCAGTTTAGTATTAAAACTCTCAGTCATCTCCACAATTAAACAAAGGGTAAGGTTGTGTGTACTTTGTACTATTCAAAATATTAACAAACGAAGGCTTTAGTACACAGTCTTTATTACAAGTAAATTCTCAAACGTTTTCGGCTACAAGCCATCATCAGGAGTAATTTCTGAAAGTGAGTGAAGATTAGAAAATCTGAATTGAAGTTATGTTACAGGTTAATAAATTTTAATAAAGTTCTACTCACTTGTCAGAGTTTTTACAAAAGATTTAAACACAAAAAGAACATTATTATGTGCTCAACACTGGAAAATTCAAGCCCCTCTCTATTTCATTCAAAATTGTTTGAATTTGATAATACATTTCATGAACGTCAGATTTGTAATATAATTTCATAAACTAATGAGAAGAAAGCATAAATGAAAATGTTCTGATGTGCAATGATTTGTGGGAATTCTGAAGAGAATGGATTTCATGTATAATTATCATCACACGAAATGCAAAACAAAATTATCATAGAGAAAGAGGAATTGATTGCAAAACTACCTAATGAAATTGAAAATTCGAGAACGAAACTGAGGAAGTCTAGTAAATTGCAACGTGATATATCATTGATTGGCATTTTCAATAGCGACAGAACTAGTTATAAGTATATCCATCCACGTTCTGGGATATTATCACAAGATGTGAAGAAATCTAATAGGAGTGATTAAAAATAATGATAATATCTGCTTTTTTTACAATTTCATTACAATTATCAGATGATATACAGAGGGGTATCAAAATTGTCAATTTTCTTCAATATCGGATTCAACTTGTACACTATCAGTTGTCCTCAGTGCCTCATAAAATCCATGATAGGCAGACTTTATGGTATCAGATTGGCAAAGCTTACGCAGGCCTATCACTTTTCGTTTCTCGATCGGTAAACTAGAAGTATATAAATTGGGTATAACTTCATTTATATGCGATGTACTATTTCTCAAGGATGCCTTTTTAACTAATATGGAACGAAATTCGGAATCATTTAGACGTTCCTTGAAAAATATTCTGTTGGGTTCTTCTTTCCTATATTGAATCCATTTTACTTTCAACCAATTCAGACTACTTCCATCTTCACATTTTTTTTGTTTGTTATCGCAGTTTTGGAAAACAGTTTGAAATTTAAGAAATCCAAATAGTTCATTTCGATAACATTGTAAAATGGTTGCATAGTTTTTGCAGTTCGAGCTACTGTGTACCAACCCTCTGGGGTGTAAATATCTATTTTATTACTACGGTTCTCAATTGCAGAATGGACACTGTCGCACTCCATTTCAGAGTGTCCTGACTCCATAAATTTTTGGTTTATAATTTCAATCGGTAGCAATTGTACAGCTCGTAAAAACATGGCAGCATTAATGCAGTTACGATTTTGCCCCGATGCGGTGTCAGCATAGAATGTAAATTCTTTCACTTCAATCCCAATGCCACACAAAAGTTTCCACAAACAGGTTGCAATTTCTGAGGAACCTTTGGTGCGAACACCCTCATGCCACATAAAGTTATCTGCATGGGCAGTCCCCAAATTGTACACGGTAAAGTTGAACGTTTTTAGTTTCTGTGTATAGTAAAGCTTTCCTACTTGTAATGAGGGTGTTAACAGAATTTTTTCCATATCTACAGCAAAATATACAACTGACTTATCAAGTTTTGCTTTATTTTTATCGACTTGTTTTGCTTCTCTGGCCTCTATTTTTCTAGCTAAGTGCGCATTAATATCCTCTTGCATTTTTAGCTTCTCATCATCACTTTTATTTTGAAACTCAGCACAATAATCACATTGGTCCTTCTTAGGCCGGTGAAAACCAATATTAAACTCTGAGGTGAAAATGTGTTTATAAAAGCTAGCTTTCTCGGGTGCTACTCCAAGCTCTGAACAATAATCTTTATAATCCAAATATAATCTATTTTCAGATAATCCTGTGGGTAGGTACTCCCTCTTTGTAGTGCTCCTACAGTAATGTGAAGCAATTAATGGTAGAGATTTCATGTGAGCTCTTATTATGTCTTTTGTTGCTTCAGTCTTTTTTTGCGGTGGTGGTTTTCTGCCCCTTTGATCTGGTTTAACGACTCCATGTACCGAAGTTTTATCCAGTGCTGTGTGTGAGTACCTTTTTACTTGAGATTCGTAGAGTTTTCAGAAAGAACTTCTGACAAACTTGTTTTGTATGTCCTGCTGTAAGTTTATAAACCAAAGTATGTTGTCTGCGACTACCGTCTTCTTGTGCAACATATGAACGCTTCTGTGAAATTCGCCGAACATTTCTGGCGATAAAATTCCACCTCAACTCTTCTGTTTTCATATCATGAAATTCCTTGAAAATCTGGAGTCGCGTTTCATTGGAAAAATAGTCATTACACTTGTAATGACACTTACATTCTACCTCTGCTACTGTTTTCGCTCCTTTGAGCCTTCCTTTCTGTGTATAATACGCTTTTCCCTCCATCCTTAATGATTTTTGCACATTCCTTGACCATTTTGAGGCTCTCGTTTCCGTTTCCTTGTTGGTTTTTTGTCCTCTTCAGTTTTGACGGCTTCCAAAAAAGTTATATCATCGTTCCTTTCCATAAGCCTTCTTCTGACATTCACTAACGATTCCGAACTACTTGATGAATCATCCTCGTTATTGATTGAAAAGGTATCAATAAAAACTATTATTATTATTATTATTATTATTATTATCTTCCCTGAACACTCAAAATTGAGAATATTGCATATTATTATCGTATTCTTTGCAATAACTGAAAAAAAAACTTACCTTCAACTGGTGGTGAGTGGTGGCTCTCAAAAATTACTTGATAATCATTGAATTCACTGACTTGAGTTCCGGAAAATCAACGCCTTGTTCTCTAACTGAAATCAATTAAATTTCAGATGAAAAAAAAAATGAATGAAAAAATCACAAGTCTGCTGAAGATAGAGAACCCCTACGCAGTTGCACTATGGTCACACTCACAAACGATATACCTGACATCATTTTTGATTAACGACATGCTACTGAGTACGTGTGAAATCAATTTTTGTTTTAAACTTCACCTTCAACTGATGACCATAATGGGCTTATATCACAAAACATTTTTATTTTATAATTCGATAGAACTCACCCAAACTAGCTCACCACCGCAAACCGTTTCTTGCTGTGAGCTCCCTACGTTTTATAAAAAATTATTGAAATCCACGATTTTTCGGACATCTGAAAACGAGGCGATGATGTGACGTCAAAACCCTAATACTGAAACTAGACTATTCCAGACAGAGATGAATGATACATGATTTCTGACAGAGTGAATTAGCGCGAGATCACAGTTGAAAGAATTAATATATCAGTTGCCTCAGTCTCCGTCGGGGGTTTGGTAGTTTCTTTTAACTATGGCGAGATGAGGTTTCTACGTCATAAGAGAGGGTCCGTTTTCAGAAGGTACTATCATTTATGTCCAAAAATAAAACATTCCAGTTCATTTCTCGATCGAATTATGTCGTCAATCATTATTTATGTACAAAAGGACCATTATAAACATGGTTTGAGTTAAAAGTTCTACTAAGGTGTACACGCCCATTGCCTATTGGGAGATTCTTGCTGACAATCTTCTGCAATAACTGGCACGTAATCTGAAATCAACATAAATTTTTATAATGAAAATTTCGTAGGAATAAACCTCATGTAATGTCCAATTATACATAGGAAATATTGAAGTAGATGAAGTAGTGCAGTAATAAAATTTTTCTGAATAACTTTGATGCGACTCTGTAGGAAGTAAGCTTCAAATTCCGGTCGAAATATGCACTAGTCACTACCTAGATGAGATAACATTAACCTCAAACTTACCGAAACGAACCGGTGATAGTAAACTATAGGCGACTGAGATTAAGATCGTAGCGCCAGAACGGCGAATGTCGGTACTACTCTATGGGCCATTGGCGGATTGTTTACATTGTTTGGTAATGGTGTTTATGTTTATTTCGTTTTGAGTTTTCAAACGTCCAGCTTTGTTATTTGTCTATTTTCGAACTTTGTATTTTCCAGCGGTCTACTGTGTTTTGATTGAGGACTATATTATCTCTGTTCAACATTAGATAACCTCCCTACCTCTAGTTGAACTTCATATATTCCAACATGCATAATAGGCTAATAAAATTAAATCGAAAAAAACCGTTTTGAGGAATTAACTTCCAGCAAACTGGAAATCGTTTTAATACCTCTATTTGGTCCTAAATGCGTGTAATCTGAGTTTGCACCATGTCAGGTGGTGAGCTTAACTTTTGATAGCCAAAAAACCGCCACATTTTTGCACTTTTTTTATTTTTTTGCTTATAGCTGCAAAACGGTGCGTCGGACGGAAAATGTTATTCCATTCAATAATACAGAGGACAAAATTCTGCATCGAATGACATCTGAAAACATCAAATTCCGTTCAGAAGTATAGCCTAAATCGAATGTTAAAAAAAAGAAAATTTCGTAGTTCGGTGCAAACTTACATTTTGCGGCTTTCCAATAGGCACCTATTGCGAAATAGGTATTTTGCACACTGCATGTAAACTATGTGGGATTTTTATATTTCAACCTTTATGGTTTATGGTACTCAATGCAAAAAATCCATGGAATCATTTGTTTCTGAATGTTTAGGTAACAATAATTAAGGCTTTCAAACTCTTTTCAAATTGTGAGAAAATTTTACACTACCTAATTTTATTTATTATTTACAATGAATTTTGTTTGGCGTTTGTAAAAAAAAATTTGTTTGCAACTCGTGCGCGAAATACTTTTTTCTACAAACGTCAAAAAATGACAAGGTTCGCGCATCGATAACGAATTGCGAAGTGACACTTTTTTTCAGTTTCCTACGATACCATGATTCCTTGCACAAAACAATGCGCGAAGTAAAACAGTGCGCGAAGTACCTACTTCGCGCATTGTTATGTAAAATATATGAGATATTTATATTTCAACTTCATGGTCAAGACATCCACAAAATCATTTATTTCTGAATGTTCAACAATAGCTTTGTTTCTTCTCTTGGAGCGCACGAAAGGAAATTCCTATTATGTTCGTGGAACATCGTGCGTACCTAGAGAGGATAGGGGAAGACCTTTTAAGCCAGTTCAACACTATTTTTTATATCAAGCTAAGCATATTTTCACTTTAGAACTATATTTTTTGACGTTTGTAGAAAAAATTTTGTTTGCAACTCGAGCGCGAAATACTTTGGTCATCTCGACTATTTTTTTAACTCGGCTACGCCTCGTTAAAAAAAATCAGATCTCGATCACCAAAGTAGCATTTCGCGCACTAGATGAAAAATAATTATAAATTGATGCAAAATTTGGGACCGAAGCTGAACCGGGCATTCAGATATCCGGATAATTGGACAAATCAAGAAAACTTAAACATTTGGACATCTATCTATATAACGTAAAATTTTATTCTCTACAACTTTTATTTCATGGGTTTTTTCAATAGGAGTATCTGTTTTCACGATATGTCGTCTTGGAAAGCCGCAAAATGTAAGCTTGCACCGAACTACGAAATTTTCTTCTTTTTTAACATTCGATTTCGGCTATACTACTAAACGGAATTTGATGTTTTCAGATGTCATTCGACGCAGAATTTTGCCTTCTATATTATTGAATAGAATGACATTTTTCGACCGATGAACCATTTTGCAGCTATAAGCAAAAAAATAAAAAAAGTGCAAAAATTTTGCGGTTTTTTGGCTATCAAAAGTTAAGCTCAACTCCTGGAATGGTGCAAACTTAGATTACACGCATTTGGGACCGAATGAAGGTAATTAAATGATTTCCAGCTTGCTGGAAATTAATTCCTCAAAATATAATTATTTGATTGGCCTATAAGCTGTAAGTTTTTTATCATTATTGAACAAGAATTCTCATGAAAACCTGTGTGGGATGTTGATTTCCAATTCGAATATATGGCAGGGATATTCCCCTGATAGCATGATATTTTTGAAAGAAAATCCAGCAAACTCTTTGGGAATAAAATGTTCTTTCGAAGGTGAATTTAGGTAAACAGGTTCTACTCGACTTTTTACAACATACTCATCAAAACCCTGATTGATAAAATTCTTTACTGTTTAAAAATTCTACTGTTCATGAGTAAAGATATAATCAGTTTAAAATTTGTTTGTTTTTTTACCACCACCTCAAGAAGTAGGTATTATATTCATAATAGACATACATTTGAAAATATAAAATAGGTATGAGTAAATTTTCAGTGAAGTGTAAGAAACAATATCTCATTATGTTCAGACACTTTTTCCAATTTTCAAGTTATGAATCCACACCTTTCTCCTACCGATCACTTCCTTGTTTCCCAAATTATTAGTTTCAAATACCAATTTAGACTGTCCTGATTTTTGAAAGGAATGAAAGCTATACTCGGGATTTTTTTGCTCAAGATGAACAATGAGGTACACAACAATAATGACTCATGTTTTTAAACGTTTATAGGAGTTCTCAAACAAAATTATAGACAATTAAAACACAACTACTCCTCATACAAAATACACGCAAACTAATGTAAACAAAGCAATCAATGGCCCATACGTTAGTTATATTAGACAACGGTAGAGGGAGTACTCCTTAGCATGATTCGCCTATATTCTTTTTCTACTAATAATGGCGCGATCCAACGCAGGAACGTGAAATGTGTGGATTAGATTTATTCACGTCTATAATTTCCCAGGGCTATACCGCTTCAAGAATCAGTAGCTGAAAGTTCTAAGGTGCTTATGTCTATTCACTGTAATGAAATATGGGTTACGTCCTTTAGCAAATTATGTGTTTCAAGATCTTTGAGAAGGTTGTGGATTAGGATTCTTTCAGAAATCAAACTTCATGCTTTTTAGTGTTTGTTAACAGTCTTAACTCAATTTTACACTTTTTGTGGGTTATGACTCTTCACCACCAAAGCTACGATATGTGTGAATTTTTTCATATTAAAATGTTGTTACATGCATTCTTTCCATTTTTAGAACTGTTGTTCTGGGAATTAAGTAACGTATCGCTATAAATTGAAGTGGGTATTTATACCCTATTTATATTTTCCATCTATGGCAATGATTGACTTGACATAAGATCTAACGTCTAAAATCGTATCTGACAATCAAGCGCTGTTAGGGAAATTGAAAAGACAAAGAGCAGAATATGTGTCTTATTCTTTTATTCACTCAAACCATTGTAATATAGAAAATAGAAAAGGACAGAAGTTTAGCTGTTTCCGAACTCTTATCTACTAATACCATCCAGTGACTCTAGTCTATGATAGTAGTAACCCCGGATTCTATTTCTCTTTACTCCAATTTTGCTAATTTGACCGACTCTCTTTAATAGTAACTGAAATCCCAATGGTGAGCATCGAATTTGAGACATACTGTATATCCATGTTTTTTTTTCTAGCTTATGGCCACAATACGTGAAAGACAGAATCAAAACCACGTATATGTACTTTGGCGGATCCATTGTTGTGACTGCAGCTAGTGCTATGGCAGCAGTTCGATCTCCTGCTATAATGAACATTGTTATGAAAAATGGATTTTTGGTAAGTACATTTCACCATTGTTGGCCAAGATAAGTAATAATAATATGTATAATATATCAGGTTGGGATCTTGATGTTAACTACCTAATGATAAGTGGAAAGTAGAGTCCGACCACGATAACTTTGGGTCAGCATGTGGTCGCGTATGCATTGAATATGCATATGCGTTGCGTCACATGCTGTCCCAAAGTTAACGTGGTCGGACTCTAAATCCAACATATACCGGGTGTCAACGAATCAATCAGACAAGCCATAACTTGTAGAATAATCGGTGTATCAAAATGAAATTCAATTTGAATATATGGTATGCGGAGAGGAAAGTTAACGCATATTTTTCACTTCCTGGTCACTTCCGGTTCCGCCGGAAATGCTCCGGTTTTGAATTATTAAATGGAACACCCTGTAAATTACAACAATTTCTGAGACAATTCAGAGTATGACATCTCCAGATGTTTTTACGCCTACTTGATTTCTTTAGAGTCACTTTTAATATGGCATCTAGTTGTCCATGATCTAATGTAAACTTATCTAAGGACTTCAGGTGATGTCAGAAAATCATAATCGCAACGTTTTAGTGACTAATATGATAGATAGGAAGAAAAGACAAGTTGACAAAATTACATTTCCATGTCTTACTACAATTGATCAAATGGCAACCATTCTTTGACAAGCACTTTCCAAAAAAAGGATTTTTTTATGAATCTAATGATACGAATTCATTTGCGATTGGATTGAAAATAAGAACATGAATTCAATATTGCCAAGGATATTTATTTATTCACATTTGTCAAGTGTGCCATAAATGGTCTTGATGCATAATATCTTGCAGTCATTTATTTCGAGTCTTCTTTGAAAAACAAAACACTTTAATCTGTGATTCAGTGGCAGTTTCAGTTGTAATAATAATTGTGGTGTTATCTGCATGTAAGAAGTTTGTCCCTGAGTAATATATGTAGAGAGGTCATTTATATAGTGTATTTCTAACTATGATGTAATAGTTAAGCAACCACACAAACCAGCTCACTGAGGTAGTTCACGGAGTAGTTAAGGCTTTTGATTTGGCACTTGATGAGGCTCTTGTTGTAATAATCTGAGTTTATACAGGGTGTTTCACAGGTAAAGGGAAATATTTCAATGGTAGATAGGGGTCACCAAGGTGGATCTGAAAATACCATATTTGATAGGTCTTAGAGTTTTCATAACGGAGATACAGGGCGATTTATCGATTTCGAATAATTATTCATTCGTCTATAAGTATTGAAATACCCAATATATTTTTCTAAAATTTGGTATGGAGCTTAAACTTGGGACGTTGAATTCATTCACCTATCGGGCGAAGTGAAAATCCAGGTTCGGCTTCAGGAAAAATTTACATTCATTCGAAATATTAAAATAACACACTGTATGTAATAATTGACAAAGTTCATCAAAGGAATCGTGAAGAGGAGGAAAAACTGAACTGGACTTGATGCTTTTTGTTTTCCCGCCACCAATTCTCATCGTAACAATCATAAACAGGAAGCTAAAAGTATGTCAATTTCAAGAGTATTAAAATTATGAAACCACTTTCAATTATGATTATTGGATATATTCTTGTTAAATGATCGTTCGAAAGAACTTACTTAGTCTCACAGTCTTTATAACAGAGATACAGGGTGAATTATCACTCGTCCATAAGTATTAAACTACCCATCGCAGTAATATTTTCTCAAATTTGGTATTGAGCTCACTTGGGACGATGGATTCATTGACCTATCAGGCAGAAGGGAAATACAGGTTCAGCTTCAGGAAAAGTCTCCTAGTCTTTATAACAGAGATACAGGGTGAATTATCGAATTATAATTCCGCCTGATAGGTTAATGAATCCATCGTCCCAAGTAAACTACATACCATATTTGAGAAAATGTAACTGGGTAGTTTTATACTTATGGACGAGTGAATAATTATTCAAAACCGATAATTCACCCTGTATCTCCGTTATAAAAACTGTGAGACTTGGTAAGTTCTTTCGAGCGATTTTCTGACTGAAATATATCGAATAATCATAAATGACACTGGTTTCATAATTTCAATACTCTTCAAATTGACATACTTTCAGCTCTCTGTTTATGATTGTTACGATGAGAATTGGTGGCGGGAAAACAAAAAGCATCAAATCGAGTTCAGTTTTTCCTCCTCTTCACGATTCCTTTGATGAACTCTGTCAATTATTACATACAGTGTGTTATTTTAATATTTCGAATAAATATGAATTTTTCCTGAAGCCGAACCTGGATTTTCTCTTCGCCGGATAGGTGAATGAATTCAACGTCCCAAGTTTGAGCTCCCTACCAAATTTTAGAAAAATATACTGGGTAGTTCAATACTTATAGACGAATGAATAATTATTCGAAATCGATAAATCGCCCTGTATCTCCGTTATGAAAACTCTAAGACCTATCAAATATGATATTTTCAGAACCACCTTGGTGACCCCTATCTACCATTGAAATATTTCCCTTTACCTGTGAAACACCCTGTATAATTTATGTGAAAAAATAATTATACTTCTTAAAGAGATTATTATAGATTCATACGAAGTATGATGGGAGATCTCATCATAATATTGATTAAAATAAATATTTGATTAATTGTAAATATGTACGAAGCGAATTGTTTCGATTTTCTTTAATTTGAAGTAGGTAAGTACCTAGTTCCTATCTATAATAAATTTTTGTTACAGATGATGATATTCAATATATTAGTATTGATACTGAAACCAAACAATAAATAAAAACAGCTGATAAACTGACATCTGTCAAGCTTCACAAGTGAACCGTGACGTCATAATAAAACTATTGTGACGTCATCATAAAGTTAACCTGGTTTGTTCGAGGCAATATGATGAATTCGTGTTTATATCTGACTCTCATAGAGGGCGCTAGTTACAAGGTCTAAATTTTATGTGAACTTCAACATCATTGAATTGATAATACCATATATCAAAGACTGGAATCTTCTCCTGAAGATTCTAACATAGTTTGCGACACACGAGTCAAGGCGCTTAAAAAATCGGTTTGGTTAGTGGTAAAATAGTGTAGTTGATAACAGGGTGGCCTCGACACATGCAAGCTTTTCCTTTTAGTTTTGGTCGAGCAATCCACTGCCAAAGTATTGCACGCATTATGGGACACCCTATATAATCTAAACTGCTAATGTCCTATACCCACCATCGGAAAATCTCATCCAAAGTGCTCGCCTGAAACCCCAAACTGTTCATGACATTGAGTCATGTTTCTTGGTGTTCAAAAACATAAGTAAGAGTGAATTAGTGAATGTCTAGCTAGATAGTAGTTTACATCAGAGTTTCAGGCGGGCAATTTGGATGCGATTATCGGGTGGTTAAGGTATGACATAGTGGTCTATACAGGGTGTTTCGTTAATATTGCACAAAACTACGAGATGGTATTTTTTAGGTTAAAATAAGAAAAAATGTTCATATAAACATAATGTCCGACATCGATTTGTTTCCGGGATACAGGGTTCTCAATGTATATATTTTTAATTAATTCTAATTTAAGTTCTTGTTTCGCCATGGTTACATGATTGATTTGGCAAACGGGCAAGTAGATTTTGATTGTTACAGTTTTTCTCTCATCGGGTTAACATGCATAGGTTTGGTTTTTGTTTGAGTTGCTTCAATAAAAAAAAGGAAAAATAAAAAAAAATCTGGGTGTCATTTTTTGTGCAAAAAACCATTAGACTTGCCCCTTGGGTACGCCCCTGATAATACTATATCAACTGTATTAGGTTCAAAAAAGACCTCATCGTGATTTCAACAGACATTCTGAATTTTATTACTATCGGTTCAGGCATATTTTAGAAATCAATTGAATATCGATTTTTTTCAAGGATCTTGAGCAACCTGTATCTCGGAAATAAATCGTTTTCGGACATTTATGTAAACTTCTTTCTTATTTTGACCCAAAAAATATGGCCTCGAAGTTTTGTGCGATATGAATGGAAGACCCTGTATAGTAGGTTTGGTTGGTGGTTCATTTAGAGTGTTGCAGCTGAGGCATGAATTGTCGTTTTCCATATTGGATACTCGTTTTGTCGTGAAATATAAACATTATGAGCTCTGTGAATGCTGCCTGTGCCGACCTGAGTCTCAACGTGCGTACGGATTAAGGCTATTTTCCATCAAAATATTTAAATTTTTCATGTATGGAATAAATGAATATAGGGTGATTCAAAATTTGAAATAAATATCTCAAGGACGTATTGTTGGAATCAAAAAATGACTTCCTTATTAACATGTGTCATAAAATGCACCCCCTACAGCTACAGCCACTGTAAGTGTCGGGTAAAAAAAAGATTATCTGACAAGTTACACATTATAGTTTTCACGAGTAACCCCTGATTTATAGATTCAATAACGTAACTAGTTATATATTTTCATTTGTTCACCTACATTGGTTCATTGTAATTATTATTCTTATAACTATTATTATTATATACACCTGTAATCGGGCTCAGGCCTGTTGGATGTATTATGTATAAATAAATAAATAAATAAACAAATAATCAGATGAGCACAAATTAATAGAACATAACATTACCGCCCATTTTATTGAGGATCACTCGTATAATCCCGTCATTACCGAAATGGGTAACTACAATACGGCCGAGTTGCCAACGCAATGGGGAAAAACTTCCATTTAAAAAAAAAAACTGAAGATCCTAATTCAATTACTGCGTTGGGAGTGAGTGAAGCTCTCGGCCGGAATTTTTCATTGTTCGGGAGTATCAATGCAAAGTGGAATCCGTGTCGTTAGCCGCCTGTCTATGTCTATGGTTTCTGATATCGCGACAATATCGATCGCCCTCGTATCGATGAATTGGAAACTCCCGCAGATACTCCGAAAGAAGGAACCTGGTGGGATCCCGTAGCAGATTTGAAAACGACACGCTGTTATTCAGTTCGTGATTGATAGTTTCGATTCACTTTCATACTCTCTT